TTGAAAATGAGGTTTGGTTTTGTAAGAATATTAGTAGAAAGAATTTTGTTGTAAAGTTTATCTCATTTCATTTTTTTCTGAAGAGTTAAAAATCAGTTTTTTGCCATGTTGGTACATTTGAATGAGTAACAGAGAAGTTGTACATGTTTTAAGAAAGGACTTCAAAGAAATTACTGCCTAAGTGGATATCAAGTGTCACTGAGAGATATCTGCCTATAAAGGTATTCAAAATGCACCTCTGCATCAAAAAATTATTAGTTTGTCAAAAAAAATCCTGCTCTGTGGTCAATAAGAATACCCATCAACAGCACGCTTTTTGATGCCCAGAATGCTGGAAATCACATTTCTGAGCTTCTAAATTTCCTAGGAGAAAGGGGCCTTTACGCCCCTTTAGTGGTCACAGCTGCCTATTACACCTTCAGTGGCCGCTTATAACTAATGTTATTGAAACCCCTGTTAAGTAATTAAAGGGTAATAAAGAGGATGTTGCTGCTGCTGCTGCTGCTGCTGATGTTGTTGTTAAAGTACAATTCAGAGAGTAATCCTGTTCTTATGTTATTTCAAACTGTCCAGGTCTGCACTCTCCACCAATGTTTTATCAAAGGAATATAAATATTATCTCTTGTTTATTTGCTGCTCCCTACCACACCTCTGTAGGGTTGATGGGATTTTAGACCCAAAAATAATAGTTAATTGAATTAGGGACCATTCAGATAAACTTTATTTTTTATGCGGTAGGGGGGTAGCGGGGTTGGTGGGATTTGATAGCTACAGTAGGTCCTGGAATATATTATGACCCCCTCCTCTGTATTACAATTTTTTACCCTCCCCCCTCCCCTAAATCCTATTTTTTTTGAGATGACTGACCATCCCACAAAAAACTTAAACTTATCAAGCTTAACTTGATAATATCTGATAAAATTCTAGTTTTAATCGGTAGTAATAGTAATAATATTGCAAGAGCACTAATTAACCAATTTTTGATGGGATGTGGTACGTTTTTACGAGAGGTTGCCTGTATTTTAAACCAAATAGTTGGGGGATTGAGTTGATGCTGTTCAGAACATAACATAGAAGGGGCATTGAGATGCATGTTCCTTTGAGTAAATTTTAATTTTCAAATCTCAGAAAAGCTATTTTAGGCATTCTGTTATAGCTGCCCTACATACCATATTTTTACAGCCATCCCACTCTCTCTGTTAAGATTCCACCAGCCCTCCTATCGTATGAAAAATGAATGGTCCCTTTTAACTGTCAGCTGAGATGTGCATAATTTACTGATAAGAGATTTACGGGAAAATGGCCGTCAGCTGCGTGGCACCTGGGTAAAGACTTGCATGAGGGTGGTCAGTAAGAATAATGAATAAAAGTGCCATATTTCGGGTAGTGTTTCCCAGAATTTACTGATGTTTGAGAGAATGGCTAGAGATTCCAACACCCCATCTCCCTAAATAAAAATACCAGAATATGGTCTTGAAAAAAACACGAAAAACACTGACGAGTTAGACTGAAGTAACTCAAGCCTTGAAAAACTTGTTATTGATTTTCAACACCAGTTTTGTAAAAGATCAAGAGTTCAGAAATCAAAAGTTCGTTTTAGGTCAATTACCGAACTCAATTGAAATCAATCCATGGATCGAGTGTGATTGAAATACAGTTCGATTGGGTTCGAATGACTGGGTATTAAAAACCACTGAACTGTCCAAAGTTTTGCGGTGGTCAACACATGGAAGAAGTATTTGAAGAGTTCAGTCTGAGTCAAAAGATGTAAGCTTAAAATTAAGGATGGTGCGTACTAAATGCAAAGATCTTGGATCATGTGTGCTAAAGGCATCTGTGTTCAAGTGTCTATCCATACCCTTGATCGATACCCTAGATTGCCCTCGATCGATACTCAATCAACACTCCATCGACACCTCGTTGACACTCGCTTGACACTCAATCGATATCTTGGTCAACCTTCAGTTAAGAGTGGACTAATTTGTGATCAATGCCTGTGTGTCGCTTGACACTCGTCCGAATACCAACCTACTGTTGATCGAGTTTCAATTGAGATATCAAGTGAGTGTCTTTTGCCCAAATTAGTACTGTAGATGGAGAAGAATTCAGCAAGGCCTACTAGAGTCTACAAAGGAAATTAAATATTAGAACCTCCTTAAAGTTTTGAAAACGTAATTTAAAATCCTCCACAATTTTTTTTTAAACTTTGCAAATAGTTTTGACATCCTTATCACATGTATATAGTGAAAAACTGGGGTCACCGAGTTTAATTTGAGTTATAAATGCTTAAAGCTAAAATTGAGGTGTTTTAAAGTTTTTATTGTTGCTATGGTAACCTACTTTGTCATGAAGATAACCACAGCTTGTTCACCAATGATATAGGACGTTAGTATAACTGATGAAAGTGTAAGTTTAGACTTATTGCCTATACTTCTACTAAAACAACATAATTTCTAAAGTTCTCTACATAATAAATAACACTTGGTAACTTAAAAACTACTGTATGTATGTGTTTTAAAACAACATTTTAGCATCCCTTAAACAGCTCTCCTCTGGATTTGCAAAAATACAGTCTAAATAGCTTCACAACATAGCCAGTGCATTTGCACCATCTAGAGTGTAATCCATAACTCAAGAAACTAGGCTGTAAGCAGTCTCTTTTTTGCCCAAAAAATGCATAAGGGAAGAACACAAATTAAAAATTAAAAAGAAGCGATTGAAGGTTGAAGGTTGAACTGAGATTTAAGGTAGTAGACCCAAGTTGGATACTTGTGTCTACTTTGGCCAGGGTATAGTGACTGTTATTACTGTCAAGTTACTTGTACACAGCTTTTTAGCAAATAAAAGTAATGATTGTTTTTTTCCTTTATAAATGGATGGTCACTTATGGTTTATATGATGCATAACCTGATGTAACAGCCTGATGATCGTGGAACGGTGAGTTTGATTTGATGGGTGGTGGGCAAATTAGTTTATTGGAAACACATAAGACACATGAGAAAAAATTAAGCAAATTGAGTAGTGAGATAATTTCGAGTTTTTTTCTCTTACTCAAATAATTTTTATGAATTAAGTTATCTGATGATCGTGTAGCCTGTGAATGTAGACGTATTTTTGGCTGTGATTGGGTTCCGCCGAAAAATAACGTCTGCGAACGCAAGCCAGAAAAGGATTTCTGTGACGTATATGAATTCTAAGCCAGTCACAGTTTGGCTCAAATAACCCCAGAACTACTGCGTGAGGTATTCGCTGCGAGGAGCACTCGAGTTTCATTCTATCATGGAA